GTTCATAAGAATATATTATTGTTCTGTTTAACAGGGTTGGTAGAGCCACGCTGCAGCTATATTATGGTTGTAGCACCAATGTCGTATGGGTCGGCTCAACCTGGGAAGGACCAAGCATTCACAGAATACCAGCGTAAAATAGCAGCTTTTTGCTGCTGTATTTCGTTCGTGATCGATTTCGATTCGTGGTGAGTGTCGAGATCCGGAGCCCCTTTTTTACTGGAAACGAGGCGTTCCATACTTATCTTCGGAGTGACAGCGCTTCTGAATTTTGATTATTATTCGAGAATAGTGTTCCTAATTTTAGCCAAAGTTTGTTTGCTATATTTTTTCTTAATTTATATATAAATACGATTGTTTTTGTCTATGTTAGGAGGAGGATTTTAGATATGGTTTTATAGGGCGCTACGTTATTCTCACGTTCCTTACACAAGATCCCTTACAAAGTAAATTTTGGTTTAGTTGCCTATTGCTGTAAAACTTACTAAAGCAACGGGCACGTGCCTTTAATTCTAATTATTTTTTGCATTATTTTGTACAACAACAAATAAACAAATACATACAAATAGCGGAATTTGAAAATGTTAACCCTCTTGTCCTTTGCAATAAATCAATGGGTATTGCGGAGCGTCATAAAACTTGTGTGTATCGGCTACCCGTTACAACGTATCATCACGTGATCGCAAGACAATGTCTCGTGAAGAAAATTGATCAGCACTAATTACGGCTGCTATTTCGTTTATCAAAAGTGTATTGTAGCGCCTTTCATGCTCTCCTCAAGGGATCCGATTTGCGTGAATGACGACTTTATAATCCTCTTCAGGTAGGTTTTATAAAGCAGTTTTAAATGTTTTGACTAAAATGTTACGTTCATGCAAGTATCTTCGAATTTTGAACACTGTGTCTCTCTCAGCTCCCTGGATAAATTGGCAGCGATGGTCTACCTCAATTTCTTCGTCACCCATAAAATATACTTGTAAAAATTTATGCTGTTCGTTTTCAGCTGGAAAAGTGAACCTGCACTTGCACCGTAAATGTAGGCGAAAATCCCGGCATTATTATTTCCCGGTCAACTCCGAAAGACGTCATTTGAAAGCATGAGTTATATTTTCGGATCCTGTTTAAAAAGCGCCGTGACTCATTAGCATCATATAAAAGAAAGTTTTCAAAGGTTCTTCTGGTTCCCCAAGTAACGGAAGAGACACTTTGCCATTGGAACAGCACATGCCTGCGGTTTCATCTTTCCATTTTAAAGTGCTGCAAAATCGACACGCCTTGTCCATCAGTCCAATAACAACTAACCTGTGATGCTTATAATCAATCAACGGATCATAATTGAATGTTGAGTCATTAAAAACCGACCAATTGTTTCTTTGAAAATTTTGTCGACGTTCAGCTTGGAGCTATGCATTTGCATCTTTTCGCGCCTGTGTCTGTTCTGGTGTTTCAGATGCCTTTATAGTAGATTGACGTTCAGCTTGCTCAATGAGTCTGTGTTGAGTTTCATCGGGTGTTTCCCCGGCTCTTAAGGCGGCCTGACGTTCCGCTTGTTCGAATAGCCTTTGCTGACTTTGAGCAGGTGTTTCAGTAGCTCTTAAAGTAGCTTGACGATCTGCCTGTTCAAGATGCCTTTGCAGACTTTGAGCAGGTGTTTCAGTAGCTCTTAAAGTAGCTTGACGCTCTGCCTGTTCAAGACGCCTTTGCTGACTTTGAGCAGGTGTTTCAGTAGCTCTAGGCTCTGTTCAAGATTTTTTGTGTGTTTCAGTAGCTGTATTTTGCAAGGTGTTTCAGAAGCTCTTAAAGTAACTTGACGCTCTGCCTGTTCAAGACGCCTTTCCTGAATTATAGAAGGTGTCTCAGATGCTCTAAAAGCAACCTGGCGCTCTGCTTGTTCTTGCCTTCTCAGTTCATCAACTTCTAAATATTCTAGCGATCGAGCTAATTTTTCGCTTGTATTTGAGAAGATACTCTTGAAAGGCTGGACTTACGTTTGCGAGGCATTATGAAGTAACAAGAAAACTATTTATAAAAAGACGTTAAAATACCTAAAAGGAATTAAATTTCCTTTTAAATATATTTTTAAAGCAAATCAAAAATACCTAAAAGGAATAAATATTCCTTTTAAATATTTTTAAAATCAAAACACCAAAATCAATTCAAAACACAACACGCATCCGAAAAAGATAGCCAAAAAAATCGAATCAACTTAAACCAAATCACAAAACAAATCGCAGAAAACCGAAATCGAAAGCAGTAGTCAACCAACCAAATTAAGAAAACCGATCCAAGAAAATACACAAATCCGAAAATGAAACAAACAACCGAAATCGAAAACAGGTAGTCGAATAAGCTACGAAATAGAAACAATTTAAGCGCATAGGTACCGTATGCACTATAAGTTGACGTGCGGCTCAACGGCGGGAGTTAAGTACATGTCAGGAAACATTTCGTTACCGCTTTTTAAAAACCTAGTAACGACATCTAGCGGAATCAATTTAAACTATGTATACATTAGTTAATAAGAACTCTCAAAAAATATTTTTCTTATAATTTTGCACAATTTTTCTTATTGTAATACCGATTCATTCATAACCACCTATAAGAACTGTATTCATTTCCGTTCAATAAATATTACTAAGGTTTATTAATAAGGCTTACTAAGAACCGTGGTAGCTCAGTGGTTAACGCTCGCTGTAAATATAACAGAACGCGAGTAACCCGGGTTCGATCTCCGCCGGCACCAATGAAATTGTTAATTGCAATTTTAAGTGCTGATTTACCACGTGCTCGGCGGTGAAGGAAAACATCGTGAGGAAACCTGCATGTCTGAGGAATAAGAAAAAAAATATTTCGAAGACATGTGAAGTTCGTCAACACGCATTTGGGCAGCGCGGCGGACACTTCCTTGCCCTAAACCCTCTCAGAAATGAGGGGAGGCCTGAGCCCAGCAGTGGGACGTATATAGGCTGTAACTTTACTTTTACTTTACTTACTAAGAACTGTTTCTACCACAGTTAAGTAATAGTTAAGGGTGAAAGCGTGACAGGTGTATAGTATTCTATCCATAGGTAACCCTTACGGGGTAAATCATGCTAAGCCGACGCTCTGTTGCGACGTGAAAGAAGGACAAACTTGTGCAACATATTCGATTTTCCCACGGGAATGAGATGTTTTTCCGCGGAAAAAAGTAACCTATGTCACTCTACAGACACCGAACTATTCCCATACAAAACGCTCTGTTGCGACGTGAAAGAAGGACAAACAAACAAACAAACAAACACACTTTCGCATTTATAATATTAGTATGGATGACAAGAAGCTTGTTGTGAGGGAAAGGGAACATGTGATTTATTTTTTGATTATCAAAAAACGTCACATGACGTTTAATCGGAACACAAGATGATAGGGATCGTTCTTAAACATATTGTAAGAATCCTCGTAAATAGGGTTTCTACTAGCTTTTGCTTGATAAGTTGCATTGTTTACATTTATTTATAATGAAATGAATGGCTTACTGACTTAGGGACCTTCAAGAAAAGAGCTTACTCCTTTCTAAAAGCCCGGCAACGCACCTGCACTGTAATTCCCCTGGTGTTGCAGTTGATCATGGGCGGCGGTAGTCACATACCATCATGTGAGTCGCATGCTCGTTTGCCCCCTCTTCTATAAAAAAGAGCCACGCTGCAGTGTTATAACGGTTACAGTACGAATGGACTGAACAGGTAGGATCATAAAACGCGTCATTTTTATTCATAAGCCTACTTAAAAAAATGGAGAGCTTCTTAATTTTACACTTTTAATTCTTTTTAATTCTTATTTTATAAATAATTGCCCGCTTTTATTCGTCAATTATGAACAGATTTTAATCATTGTATTTTAAATAAATAAGTTATGGTTCAGGGGTGATTTGGGGCACGCAAGTCCGTATATTTCGTTTGTTAAGGACAAGCGAGTTCTCCTAACAAAGGCACTTCATACTTGATGTGGGAGTGCAAACATATCCGTACTTGACTTAAATATATAAATAGTAAAAAAAAACACATTTTTAAAAACAAGCTTTTATTTAAATGCTCTAAAAAGTAGAAAATAAACTTTAAATTAAATCAAATCCATCAATTTATAACACTACACAATTTATATGATTTACAAGCTTGTAGCGAGATTAACCTGTGTAGGTACATATACAAGCATACAGTACGTAACTTCTTTTACAAGACTCATTCTACCCAAGTCTGCCTCTTTAGAATATAGAAAAGAACATGTGGCGGCGCTGTCGGTCGGTCGGCCCTTATTGGCCGCTACCCGGGCAGAACACCATACCCGACAAGATATCTCCCCTTTTCTTTCTACGGCCACAAACATACCCTAAGTAATCACTATTTACATGAATTCATCCTTACATCACAGCCTATAGAAGTTTACTGCTAAAATAAGCCTTCCCTTGGAATGCCTCAATAGGAGGGATTTTACCATAGTTGCGACGGTTCGAAGACGAATGTGCTACCGCAGTTCTTTTCCAATTACGAAGATACTGTGGCTAATCTCCTAGTGTTTTACCCCCTGTAGCATTTTACGACACCCACGTGACAATATTGGGTACTGAATGTTTGTAACACGATCTTTACATGGTAAGTGTATATAATTTACCTACACATAATAAAAACATAAGAATTTTTTAGATATATAAATACTGTATCAACGTATGCTATAACGCATGACTCAAGTTCCGAACCCAGTGAAAAAAATTTTATAATTAATTTCATCTATAATTTATTTTAGGCTTTATATAACTAAACTAATATTTTCCTATTTTGTGAGTGGAATTGTTGCATCTAGACAGTTACAAACGATTGATTTTCTTATTAAGTTTCGATAAAACTTTATTTTTTTATTTTTTCCTTTTTCTCGAACTGTCAGTGAACTTTATTTTAGTGCTTAGAAAATTTGTATTATTATTTTTTTTATTTTTTTATTCTGATTATTGGTAAAGAACTAAAAAAATGGCTGATCAAATATGTAAGGAATGTAATGACACAATCATTGATAGAGAGTTTTTGATTTGTTCCGACTGCGATGAATACTATCATTTGAAGTGTACAAATATTTCACCGAAATTATATTATTTAAAAAGTCCAATTAAAAGAAGACGATTCCAGTGTAAGTCATGTGTAAAAAAATTACAAGATAATGACTGCGTGCTAAATCAGTCCTCACCTCTAACTGAGAGCTTAGAAACGGCTACCAGAAATGTTACTACACGTAAGAAAATAATTACAAATAAAGTAGCCTCTAATTCATTTGGCTCCTTATCTGTTGATGAGAACTTTGAATACTCTTCCTTAACATCAACTCCAACACACGTGGACATAGGTGGAAGTAATCTGACTGATAAAAATACCAAGGATTGTATAAGCAAATTAAATGAAAAATTATGTGAACTACAAAGAAAACTTGATAATGCAGACAAGGAGATTGAAGACCTGATATCAGAAAACTATATATTAAAAAAAGAAATAGCCGAATTTAAGTCGAAACCTGAGAGATGTGTGTGTATATTATCATCTAAGATCAAGAACGTATCAAATACAAATAGATCACAAAGCATTAACGAAGTAGAATCAAACCTATTTAACAGTGCTGAAAATAAGGAAACCCCTAATAATATTGAAAGTAAAAACCATAATTCAACAATAAATCAAAAAGAACAACACAAGGTATGCGTAAATGAATATAAAAAAATTAATGGGGAAAAAAGTAAGCAATGCAGAACTGATGAACCGATACCCTTGAAGCACACTAGAAAGCTATGCATAATCAGCAGCAACAACAAAAATAATATAAAAGGCATTGCACAAGACTATTTCTCTAAAGATTTTGAATTCTGTCATTATATAAAAACAAATGCTGGTATATTAGATTTAATTCAAGGCCTTGACAAAAAACTGATTAATTACACTTTACAAGATTATTGTGTTGTTCTAATTGGAGATTATGACTTCAGGATGTCACAAGATTATAACAGACTAGTGGAGAGCTTAAGGCAAACCATACAATGCATCACTCACACTAATATAGTAATTTGCATACCAACTTTTAGATGTGCTAAAGATACAAATATTTTTAATAGAAGAATCGAAAACTTTAACTATTTGCTGTACAAAAATATTAAAGCCCATGAGTATGCATATTTACTAGATTCAAATTTGAATCTCACCTATGATTATCACATGTTCTCTGGTAAACTTGGTGCCGTGAATAATAAAGGCATGAGAGCTTTGTTTGCAGATCTTAAGAGTTTACTATCAGAAATAGAGAGTTCGTATATGTCTATAGACTACCATAAATTCAACAAAGGGACGCAAACTGATAAATTAGTTCAGCAAAGTGTTAGTGAAAACGTTTCGTATGTAAAATTATCTAATGATGACTTTTTTTCGAAAACAAGAAAAGTAAATTTCTGTATGTAATGCATCAAAATATATGTGGTGCGCTAGGTAAAATGGATAATATTGAGATCATATTGGAGGATTTTTCAAGTGAAGGAAACCGTATTGACGTTATTTGTCTAACTGAACATTTTGTCAAGAATGGACATGAAACCAATTTAGTATGTAATTACTACAATCTAGCTGCCATATACTGCAGAAAAAATTCAAGAGGAGGTGCATGTATTATGACTCGAAGAGGACTTAATTACCGAGAATTACCTGAAATTACAAGAAACTCTCTCAGTACCGTATTTGAATGTTGTGCTATTGAACTTGTGTCTTTTAATGTTATAATTATTTGTTTATACAGAACTCCTAATTATAGTAATATCTCTAACTTTTTCGAAAAACTTGAAACTTTGTTGGATAGGGTTAGCAAATATAGAACTAAGAAAACTATAATATGTGGTGATTTTAATATTGATGTTTTAAAAAATTGCATGACAACTAATGTATTTATTAATCTTTTGTCGAGTTATAACTTTAAAATTGAATTCATGGATGCGACTAGATTACAAAGTGGAACGTGTATCGATAATATCATTCATAATTGCCGTGGGTGTAAAAGCAAAATTTTACATTTAGGATTATCCGACCACACTGCTGAAGTGTTGCAATATCCTATCACAATAAATTACTCCTGCTTGCGATACTGGTTTATCAAAAGACGTGACTATAGTATTGAAAATCTAACCAAATTTAGAGAATGCCTGGAAAGCTTATCCTTTTATGATATTTATCAAAGCAATGATGTAAACGAAGCGTACAATTTGTTTTATGAATTGATTAAACTCTTTTATGACTTATGCTTCCTGTTCAACCTAATTAAAGTTTCAGCTCAGCGGAAGCCATTTTGGATTACAAGTGGTATCAAAACATCGTGTAAACGCAAAAGGAAAATGTACTTTCAATTAAAATCTAAAAATGATAAACTTAAATATAATGCTTATACAGCACTTTTAAAAAAAGTTATTAATAAATCACAACGCATTCAAAACAACAATTACATCAACAAGTCTAAAAATATAACAAGATCTACGTGGAAGATAATAAATTCAAATAATTTCACAAAGCCAAAAGAAATTATGAAGAGTGTAACTTATAAAGGGAAAACAATTACTAAACCAGGTGATATTGCAGAAGCTTTTAATGATACATTTATGAATCCTGTACAGAACTGCAAACCAATAAATTACAGAAGTAACATTGAACGTATATCAAATTCATTGTTTATGAATCCAACAACGCCCGATATATAGTTAAAATAATTAATAGCTTAAAAAATAAAACAAGTGTTGGTCACGATGAAATAACCACTAGAGTATTGAAATTTTGTAATTTTCAGTTTGCTCGGCCGCTTAGTCACATTATCAACTTAACTATAAATAAAGGGATTTACCCTGATAAGCTAAAAATAACAGTAATTAAACCTATTTTCAAGAAAGGGGATAAAGAGGATTGTAGGAACTATCGCCCAATTGCTCTGGTTTCTGTCATTTCCAAAATTTTTGAGAAAATCATATATACAAACATATATAATTATTGCGAACGATTTAATTTAGTAGCAGACGAGCAATACGGATTTAGAAAGGATAGATCTACGAATCTAGCCATATATCACATGATAAAAGTTGTATCGGAATGCCTTGACGATCGCGTTCCAGTAACTGCTATTTTTATGGATATGTCAAAAGCTTTTGATTACGTAAATCATGAAAAGCTTCTGCAAAAGTTATATATGTATGGTATCAGAGGACCTATATTTGGTCTTGTATCGTCATATTTAAATAACCGATTTCAATGCACAGAAATCTCTTATGTTAATGAGGAAAATCGATCTGAAGTGCAAGTACGATCTCAGTCACAGCTTGTAAAGTGTGGTGTACCCCAAGGAAGTATACTTGGGCCTCTTCTTTTTCTATTGTACATCAATGACCTACCTAGACATGTGCAGCATGAAATGATCTTTTTCGCAGATGATTCTACTGTTATGATAAAAAACAACAGCAATAAACCATACGAATGTGTTATTGCTGAAGCTTTGTCTGATATTATTAATTGGATGAAAGCTAATGATCTCGTCATAAACCTAGATAAGACAAAATATATGCAGTTTCATCTTCCCCAAAACCGGAAACAAGAGACTGTTTTTGTTAAGTATGAAGGGCATTTGATTGAGCGAGTAAAACAAATACGTTTCCTTGGTGTATTGGTTGATGAATGTGTAAGCTGGAAACCGCATAACGAATTTCTTGCAAGTAAAATTAGTAAATTTGTTTATCCTCTAAGAAAATTAACACAAACTGTCTCACAAAAAGCTGCACTTACTGCTTATCATGGATACGTTGCCACCAACTTAAGATATGGTATCATACATTGGGGAGGCGCGGCTGATGTTAACCTGTTGCCATTGTTTAGTATGCAAAAAAAGTGTCTCAGAGCAATGTTTGGTGCCAAACAAACAGACAGTTGCAGACCTCTGTTTGTAAAATTAAAAATTCTAAATCTGCCCTCGTTGTACATATACCACGCCTGCTTATTCGTCAAAAGTAATTTACATTATTTTAACTCGCACATTGCTAAGCACCCGAGGCAAACAAAGAGTAGTGTTACTGTTATACCGTTTCACACATCTAGGACAGCCTTTTCTCAAAAAGTTTTTATGCATTAGGACCAAAAATATATAATCATTTACCTGACAAATTAAAAGAATTAGAAATAAAAAAATTTAAGAATAAATTATTAGAATTATTGACTGAAAGATGTTTTTATTCCTTAAAAGATTATTTGAGCTACAAACTTATATTTTAAATTAATTGACATTTGAAATATTTTCTGAATTATGTTTTAAGCAAAGAGTATTCAAATCACTACGTTTTAGTTATAAGCTTACATGTATTTTGATATATCAATATTCCATTCATAGACTTAGATTATACTGGTATAATACCATTGTACTTTTGATATTATTATTTATAATCCACTTTTGTTAAAATAATTCATTGTATGACATTATGCTTTATTATCCGTGTTATTTGATTTGATTTAATGAATAATGAGATGATGTTTTAAGTTCCATAATTTTAATAATATTGTAAGCCTTATCTAGGCAGGTTGTGGTGATAATTATTTTTATAGTGTTAAATCTCTTAAACCTACAACTAGCACAATAAATGACTTATTCTATTCTATTCTGTATTCTGGCGAAAACGCATCTGAATTTTTATTCATAATTGAAATCGGCCAAGACATGCACTTACCATGATGAGGATTATATGTGTGTTTTCCACCCTTATCCTATAATAATATACGCAAAATCACTCATCGAAAAATATAAAGTACTTCCTGTTGACCTATGATACTAAAAAATCTTGAAATTTTGGTAGAAGCAAACCACAAACACAAATCAAAAGGATATGGTACTTAAATTACTAATTTGTAACTATATTACCAAAGCTTATACCGAACCCTCAGAGCGCAAGTCCTACTCTCACATATCCGGTTTTTATCAAAAGAAATGTATTTACATTGTGTAGGAAAATAGAGTGATGACTGTGGAAAATAACAAACAATATAACCGGCAAACGGATATCGATCGTTGTATTGAAAGTACATATCGGAAAATTTATCAAGTTTCCAGCACTTGAATTCGACGACGACGTCGAGAGCGCGCTCTCTTTTATTGAAGAGAGGTATCGAAGCGGATAATTAATCACAGTTTGCGGTGCTTTGCACGGTCGATGTCCATTAATTACCTCGCACGGTCCTTATCAGCACGTCGAATACAACACTCTCCGAAGTTTACTCACCTAAAAAAAGACTATGAAATTAAATATTTTGATAGAATAAATGTGACAAACGAGAACACAGTTTACCTGATGGTAAATTAATGCCGTGGCCTATACATATCCATATATATCCTCAATTAAGAATCAAAATGCAGATGCATTGTCACCCCTGAGGGCTAAGATGGAATGCTTCGTTTCCAGTAAAAAGTATCTCCAGTTCTCTACACTCACCATACGAAATTCTGCAGCATTAATATGCTATTTTACGCTGGTGCTCTGTGCGATCGTGGCCCTATCTTGGTCGGAATGACCAATATGTGCTACAGTCATAGTATAGTATAACTTCAGCAAGTAACAGTCCTCGTCATGATATATACTACTAAAGCCAAAATAGTAGTGAGTGTACTGCTGTGTTCCAGTCTGAAGGTATTTCATTCATAATTTATTCATCACAGCCAATCAAAATTCCAGAGTTGAACATAGGCCTCCCTCCTAGATTGCTTCATAGGGGCGACTTTGCCACAGCTGCCATGCTTGGCAGGTAGGTAAGCCCCCAGTTTTATATTAGTTACGGTTATTGTTAGAAGGTTACTGCTGTCCATCTACAGCTTCAGCTTCCGTCACCTCTTACGACACGCACGGAATGGGGGTAGATATTCTTTCGCCGCCACTGCAGAGCGTATACCACTGAAGGGTAGAGAGAGCAATTCCAATAAAAATATACAAAATATACAAAATTTGTCATACACGAAGTTCAAAAATGTTATTAAACTAAGTTTGTATAAAAAGGGTTACTATAATATTAAGGAATTTATGGATGATAATAACCCCTGGGAAGGGTGATCGCTACCAAGCTATTTCTAATTTGTCATGTGTTGTTTATTGTAAACATTATTGTAAGCTATTATTGGAAAAAAATTGTCCCGCTGGGTTTCTTGCTGGTTCTTCCCAGGACAGAGGTTTTTTTTTGCGAACCAGTGGTAAATGAAAAAAAGCGACTTTCAATAAGTATTGTTATAATCTACATTGAATAAAAAGGTTTCTGTTTCTGTTTCCAATATAGTTTTCAGAGGCTGCCCATAGCCTACAGTACTTATAGGTGGATCGTAATTTCGTTTGTTATTTCAGTATTATTGTGGGGTATCTATATAGTTTTCTCACCTGGTTGGGTTCTATAAATATATAATTATAAATGAAAATGAAAAGATAAATGTACATAAATCTCAATAAAATAAAATAAATATAAAAACTACATAAATAAATAAGAGCCCAACCAGATGGGGGCCCTCGGCAGGGGAGACCAGACGGCCGAGGGTTAGGGGGAAAGGGAAAGAAACCGGCGGACGATGCGGGCGGTATCGAGGAGCACCGCCTTCTGCATTTGAGCCCGGAGCGGTCCGTCACGGAGTCCCAGCCGCCTCAGATGACCCGAGAGGCTAACTGGGATCAGCCCGTTTCCAGAGACGACTACAGGAATTATTTCGGCCGGCAGACCACCCCACATGTCGGTCACCTCGTGAGCCAGGTCCAGATATTTTTATTGCTTATCTGTTTCGGCTTTCACGAGGTTCTGGTCATACGGAATGGTAATGTCGACCAAAAATATTCTTGACTGTGCCCGGTCCATCAGCACAATATCAGGCTTATGCAATCGATGAGCCCAGTAGAGCCTGGCGCGGTCATTTTCGAGCACGGCTTCCGGCAAGTACTTGTAATACGGCAATTTCCAATCCACGAGACCGTATTTCAGAGCGAGCTCCTGGTGTAGAATTCTGGCTACTAGGTTGTGCCTGTGCAAGTACTCAGAGTTAGAAAGCGCCGAACAACCGGAGATAACATGCCTAAGTGACTCACCGGGATGGCGATAAGCTCGACAGACGTCGACGGTGCCATCCTTTAGGATGTATCTCCGATAGTTGTTGGTCTTAATAACCTGATCCTGTATTGCACAGACAAAACCCTCGGTTTCCCCGAAGAGATCACCGAAACGTAGCCAGTTGAGGGAGGCTACTGTGTCTACGTAAGGCTCATGTAGAGCCCTGTAGTACCTCCCGTGGAGCTCCTTCTCCTTCCATACGGTCTCCCGGTCGGAAATGCTCTGTACTGCCGGGTCTTGCCATTGCTCGTTGGCTAAGGATAGAGGGGTAAGTCCTTTATCACTAGAAATGACGTCTTTATAGAATGGATCATCCGATCTCGCCAGGAAGTAATCACGGAGGCTGCACACTTCGCGATTATGCATGGTGAGCGCGCTCGAGAAGCCACGACCACCATGCTTCCGCGGCAAGTACAGCCTCATTACCGACGATCTCGGATGATGCATCCTATGGGACGTCATGGTAGTGCGGACTTTTCTATCCAGGGCGTTAAGTTCAGTCTGAGTCCACCTGAGTATGACAAAGGTTTACATGAGGACAGGCACGACCCAGCCGTTATATGTGTGTGCCTTATTCACACCGGACAAAAGGCTG